TCTCTACTAAAAATACAAAAAATTAGCCGGGCGTGGTGACGGGCACCTGTAGTCCCAGCTACTCGGGAGGCTGAGGCAGGAGAATGGCGTGAACCCGGGAGGCGGAGCTTGCAGTGAGCCGAGATTGCACTGCTGCACTCCAGCCTGGGCGACAGAGTGAGACTCCGTCTCAAAAAAAAAAAAAAAAGACTACAACAAATTTTGTTACCTGCCAACATTCCCACCACTGTAGTTTGTACAGACAACTTTTCTTCCTGCTAGCTCTTTTACTTTAAGTGCTGGCCACATCAGACGATAAACCCAGCAGAGCAGTCGCTCATCCTACAGTTTCATTGTACCTACAGCACAATCCCTTTTCTTTGCCGCCCAGCATTGGATAAACTCTACTGTCCTGCCTCTAGCCACGTAACGGTCCCAGCATCAACTTTACAACCCTTGTCTTGTGGATTTAGTGCCCTTTTATTCTCATGCTTGAACATGAAAAAGAAAAAAAAAAACAAAAAAAAGTGTTTCGTCTTAAATGAAAAACAAGCATATCCCCATCTCTTTTCTTCAAAGAAAAAAAGATAAACTGGAACAATGTTTTCTCCAGACCACCTCCTCCTCAAATTTTCCATTCATTTCTGGCATATAATGAGTAAACTTTCTCCCTGAGGTGTATGACTATGTGCTAAAGGCAATTACATAAGATACAGAGAAAAACCTAAATATTTCCAGGAACTTGTGAAACAAACAAAACCCCCAAAGCAAGATCAAGATCTAAGGCTGGTGTTCTAGGACCCAAGACACGCCCATTGCTTAGACAGCTCAAAAACCAGATTACATCTGACAGACATTTCAGAATGAACAGTACTCCTTCCAGCTGGGAATGGGAGGTGCACTTACACTCGTGAAACCACTGCGAGGATCACCGTGTGCTCGGAGGGATTTGTGGCCCGGATCGACCTGCAATGAGAAGCCTCCAAGTCAAACAAGGTGATCTGGACTTTGTTACATTAAATGAATGCGGAACTTCTTCACATTGAAAATGACACAACATCAAATCTTTCTCTAAAGAAAACGTCTTAAAACACACAGAAGACAACAAAGAAAGATGCCCTTGTGGATTAGGACAATCTCTTCATTTCGTTAAAACTTTTTTTTCTCTTAACTCCCAGGCAATTATCCAATAGGTCAGACCTGCCAATTTTCCACTTAAAAAAATTGGCAAATTCCACTTAAATTCCACTTTTTAAAATTGAAACTCCACTCTTCAAAATAAAAATAAATTGGCAGTCCTACAATCCTCTTCTTATCAGTGTGTACCTGGGGGAGCCAATTGGGTTTAATCTTTTTTCTTTTAAAATAGCAGATAGTTCAGAAAGTCGACCTTATGATAAAAATTAAAACACTCGCTGGCAGCGGGATGTACAAATGCCAGTTAAAGCCAATTAAAGATGGTACAAAGAGCCACCTCAATTTTTCAGTCCTACTGTAGTTTGTGCTTAAATACTTTAAACAACTTGATCATCAGCTGGAGCTGAGAAATGGTGCAATATGGTACCTGTCACTGTATAATGTTTGTTGTACTGGGACCACCTGGATATAGTTAGTTTATTCCCTAGGAGTTAAACAGGGCCAAAATAATCAGGACATAGAATTTTGAGGTCCATGAATCTTCTTTGCTGTGCCATGCTACAGCCCAGATTCTGCACCGTTCCGGTCAGGGGGTTGTAAATTGGACAAACTTTTAATAAAGGCCCACACACTTGAATCTCACTGCGAACCAGCATGCTTGCTTTGACCTATTCTCCTGGTCTGGCCTCTGCTTATGCTGAGATATCTTGGAAGGGAACCACCATCTCCAAGAACAGAATTACTCCTGAGTAATTTGTGAAACAACATGCATTTGTTTTTCTCTCTGGCTGTGGGCATTTCTGCTCCCCTCTACTTTAATGTGTTTGAACTACCACTCCCCAAGGGACAGTCGGCTCGTAGTGCTTCATCCTCTTCAACTCCAACATTTTCTGACCTTTCTCAAAAAATGCACCTTCTCCATGTCCTGTTCCTCGAGCCCTCACACTATGTGGGAGGAAGGCTACAGGAAATGATCGGCTGTCATATTCCCAGGAAGTGAAGTTTCCTCTGTGGATAAATGGTATTTTAAAGAGATCTTTTGAAGAAAATGCTATTAACTCACAATGGGGCAGGAGGCATAAGTCAATATCTCTCCAATGCCAGCACAGGCTACTTCCCACTCAGCCACCCTGTAGGACAGGTCCTGCTAAGGTGAAGCTACACTTATTTTATACTCAAGAGCCTACTGGATGGATACTCAGTGGAAATACCAGTTAGCACCTAATGAAAAAATACATAGTGTTTTAGAGGCATGTTCCGATCTCTAGGGAAACTCTAAGTACTTCTCACCTTCATTCAGTCTTTCTCACCCCAGTAGGTGTCATGGGCACACTGCTGGGCTATATCCTAAGGTGTGGGTTTTAGGCAAGAGGCTAAAACATGTAATAAGCATAACTGGGCTGGAGTACACATGCTCTTGGTTTCTTTTGGGACTGGCTTCCATCTTTTGGGTTGCTTCCTGCTGCTTGTCTCTTTTCTTTCGTCTCTCCAAAGGAACTGGTATGGTAAGAGAGACCTAGGCCTCTTCCTGGATGAGAGGACTAAGGGGAAGGTGGGGCTGAGGCTCAAGGACGCATGTTAGGCTAAGGTCCAATCCTAGCTCAAAGGTGAGGGATCTAGCGCCACAGATGACAACAAAGAATGCACATCTGCCAGGGGCATGTCACCTACCCATCCCCTTAGGGAATGTGTGTTGGGAGTCAAGCATTTGGAATCTGGCCACCCTCAACATGACCAATAATGGTCGGGAAACACACTGACAGATACGTCCATCTGACTTCTAAACTGTATAGACCTCTATTGGTTTTCTGAGCAGCTAACACAGAAATACATTTGGTAGGAAATAAAACTCTATTTCTTTATATTCAAAGAAAAATGTAAAGTTTATCTGCTAAACTGGGCCTTTGCCTGAATTAAAAGATTTCTTCCTGTTGATTTTTTCTTTATAAGTAAAGCTTCTCTTAAGTCATTGTATGTAGGAACAAAGAAGTGTGATATTTCTACTATAAAACTACCTAAGAAAAGTAAGTGAAGGCCAAGAAAAATCAGAAATACTTAGTGTTACAAGACCCAATTCTACTATAAAATCATCAAAAATATTTCCTAATACTAAAAATAGTATCCAGATATTTTATGATATACTCTATGTATATTTATATACACTATTAAATAGAAAAACATTTTTATGCAGAAAGATGAGATTATTTGAAGCCATTAAAACATTTCTAAAACAGATGCTTAAGAAAAATTCTTCTTTGGGAAACTGAAAATCATCAAAGAATAGCAAGATGATGTCTGTGATAAGAAACTTCTCTTAATCCACTAATTTCTTCTCAGGGTACCAAGGTTCTAAAAAGCCGTTTTCCCACCTTTTATTTCACTTACTAACATTCAAGAAAATTCCAGCTCGCCATGCAATTGGACTCTGTCTTGGTCTAGCATTTAATTAGTGACCTCTTCCATCTAGCTTCAAAGCATTCCACTTCTGCTAAATGAATCAGTTCATCCAGAGCTAACTCTTATGACTGAGCATTTATTTATGAACAGGCCTGTGTTTCCTCCCCAGAGTGCAAGCATTTCTATAAACAAGCAGGGGGTTTGGGTCCCTGGAAGATTTTCTACTGCTGCAAAGTGGCTGCCTTCACTCCATGACTGGGAAGCCTGCTGTGGGATCTACCCATCTGTGTCAGGCAGGAAAAAATTTATATTTCACACATTTCCGATGTTCATTTTGGGAGAGAATAATGAAGATTAAAATAGCTAGTTTAAATCCAAACCGTATCTGTGTAATGAGAACTGTGTGAATTTTAATTTTTTTTATGAGCAATACACAGGGTGGGGGGAATACCCTGAAGTTATCAGGGGAGCCCAGCTCACACCTCTAAATTTAGTACCACTCAAATGTGGAAAAGTAGAAGAGGAGAGAGAAATCTACAGGAAGGAGCTATAGCTTTCACCACAGACATTTGTATACACTGCTTAAAAACATCAACACATATTTTTAAAATATTTGAAATAAATTAAAGATATCTGTAAATGAAATTCATTTTAAGCTGTTAAGCGAACATTTACTCAGCATATTAAATTAGAGAAGGTACCTGCACACCGCTTCTGCATCGAAGTTCTGAGTTTGTCTATGATCAATTACAATAATTTCATGATGCTTATCAAGAAAGCATTCAAGGGCTGACTCTGGAGTCCGAGCAATATTGCATCTATAACCAGCTCTGTCACAGGCCCACCAGAAGCCGTCGCTCTGACTATCTTCCTTTGCAAAGATCAGCAAAACCTGAAACACAACAAAAAGAGCATCTTGAAATAAATCATCATCCATAGAGACTATTAAAAACAAGCCTATTGGCCAGGTGCAGTGGCTCATGCCTGTAATCCCAGCTCTTTGAGAGGCTGAGGCAGTGGACTACTTAAGCCCAGGTGTTTGAGACCAGTCAGGGCAACATGGCAAAACCCCGCCTTTACAAAAAATACAAAAAAATTAGCCAGGCATAGTAGCACATTCCTGTGGTCTCCACTACTCAGGAGGCTGAGATGAAAACATCGCTTGAGCCTGAGAGGTAGAGGCTGCAGTGAACCATGATTGCACCGCTGCACTCCAGCCTGGGCAACAGAGTGAGACCCTGTCTAAAACAAAAGCAAAAACAATCCCCCCAAAACAACCAAAACACCAGGCCTATGGTATACTGGTTTAAAATGGGGCCTCTGGAGGGAAGCTACCAGGGTTCAAATCCCAGCTCCTCCAGTTGGTTACAGTGGTCTTTGAACAAGGTATTTCACCTCTTTGGCCTATAGTTTCTTGGCTGTAAGAGTGAAAGAACAGTGCCACATAAGTTAGTTCTGAGAACTGAATAAGCACAGAGAAGGTGCCCATTCACTCTGGTGGTGATTGTGACTCACGGCAATTACAAGTATTTCTAATTTCCTAATTAGTTTGGTTTTAAATAAGAAGTAAAATTATTAATGAGATAGTTAACACAGGTTAAATTATGGTTTACATTTACAGTACATATATTTGATTCCAGTTGCAAGTGGCATTTGCCTTTAAGTCTCTGGAGGCCACCTCTCTGAACTTAGCACCAAAATACCTATAGACATAAGGAAGTAAGGGAATTCAAAACAACCTCAAAAATGAATTTTAACATCCAATCTTTGCCAAAATCTGGAAAGAATGATCAGGAAATGTAAAGTTGATGGAGTTAAGTTGAGGGAAATGTGCTTCTATTGATGAACTGCCTCATTGAGAAGCAATTTTGCCCACAGGAAAGAAGGCAGCAACACTTTACACAGTTCCTCCCTCATCATCGCCTGGGTCCAGGAACACAGATTCCCTGCCAGCCAGAAAGACCCAGACTGCCCTACCACCACCTGAGCTCATTTATGTATTTATAGTCCATCTCTCTCACTAGAGAAGTAAGCTTCAGGAGAGTAAAGGCTCGGCCTGGCTTGTTCCCTGCTTGTACCCCCCATGCCCAGCACTAGCCTGGCACTTCCTAGCTGTTCAGTAAATATTTGAGAAATGAAAAAACAACTACTTGTGGGGTCTTCTGAGAAATGCGAAAGGGCTTTACTGTGAATAAGATGTAAGATCACCTCCCAGCAATAGATCTAATAAGAAAAACCTATAATAATCTCAAGATATTGTTAAGGCACTCAATACTCTTCTGCACCCACGTCTGGTTTAAACAATTAGAAACAGAAGGGTAGTTTCTCAACATGAAGAGCTTTTGAGTCAATAGTCAATATATTCATCATGGTGAAATACCAAACGTGTTTCATTTAAAATCAGAAACAAGCCAAATTGTCCAATCATTACATTTGAAAACTACTTTTTTTTTCTTTTTTTTGAGACAGAGTCTTGCTCTTGTCACCAAGGCTAGAGCGCAATGGCACGATCTCGGCTCACTGCAACCTCCGCCTTCCAGGGTCAAGTGATTCTCCTGCCTCAGCCTCCCGAGTAGCTGGGATTACAGGCGCCCACCACCACACCCGGCTAATTTTTGTATTGTTTTAGTAGAGACAGGGTTTCGCCATGTTGGCCAGACTGGTCTCGGACTCCTGACCTCATGATCTGCCCACCTCGACCTCCCAAAGTGCTGGGATTACAGGCATGCACCACCGTGCCCAGCTGAAAAATACTTTTATTAATTGAAAATTGGAAGTATATAGAAAAGCAGAAACAATAATATAATGAAACTCATGTACTCCTTACCCGGCTTCAGCAATAACCAACTCCTAGCCAATGTGGGTTCATCTCTATCCCTACCCATTTTCCTAGCTCTTACAACAGATTGTGGCAAATCCAGCTATTTTATCTCATCCATATGCATTTGTGAAAGATAAAGATTTTTTAAAAAGAACAAAACCACAATATCATTTCATACCTAAACCTCCCCAATAATTTCTTAATATCAGTAAGTATCTGGATATATTATATATGCCATTTTTTAAGAGCACCCTGGGCTGACCAGGGTCTGTCCTTCTGCAGCCCAGGAAGCTCCTAACATTTCCAGCCACAGAGTTCCTTCTAGGAAGAAACGGGAGGTGGCTCACCCAAGAAAAATGAAGGACACAACCTTGCGGATTTTGATAACGAAAGCCTTCCTATCAAACTGTTAACAGGGGAACCTGAATGAGAAAAATCAGGTAGAATAAACTGGTTGCTGCAAAAAGTCAATAACCTTTTACTTGGTGTAGCTGTGGTATTAACACGAGAAACTCAATATGCCAAACCCAGAAGTCAATTCCGGTGAAAAACTTCTTGTCTCTCACCTGTCTGGCTGAATTATGGATTTTTAAACAAGAATCTCAACAATTTATATTTCCTTGACACCATTATGCCTCAATCTTTGACTAATACAGTAAGAATAACAATTCTCTTGTTGGGCATTACAACAACTATCACTAATTTTCAGAAACACTGCTTTTAACTGCTTACGGTATGTTGATGAACAAAATAAAGACTCTGCATTACAGTGGTAGAGGCACACACAATAAATAGACCATTAAGTAAGTACATTATACAGAATGGTAATAAATGACAGGTGCTACGTGAAACCCAGCAGAGCAGAGTAGGGGGGTCACCAGTGGGTGCCAGCTGCAGAAGGAAGTAGGCAGTTAGGATAGGTCCCGCTGAGAAGGTGACGTGTGAGCACATGCCTGAAGGGAATAGAAAGGCAAGCCCAGTTTACATTGGAAGGAAAAGCATTCCAGGCAGAGTTCTATAAGCCCCTGGTGTGTTCTAAGGACTGCAAGGGAGCCAGGGTGACTGAAGGGAGGGTGTGAGGACAAAAGGGTGGGAGCAGGTCAAGTTCACGGCAGAGGGCTAGACCATGATAAGGCCTTCCAGGCCATTTGAAGGTCTTACAAAACTGGATTTCACATGGAAACTCACAAAACTGATTGAAGGTGGACAGCTGTATTAATTGTATATTTTTATTTTCTGTGTTTCCGATGCTTTGACTCCTGGCGCTTTGCTGACCCTGGAAGGACTGCCCTTCTCAGGGTTGCTAATTCCTAGAGATAGCACACAATTCTCCTGTGAGCATGCCCTTCATATGCAAATCAACCAATCCAGAGCCCATTCCCCAACCACCACCACCTCTGGTTCTTACCCTCCAGGCCACAATTCCCCAACCCTAATCACCCTAGGGCCAGGTACCAAACAACTAGAACCACCAATATGTCCCAGACCTTTCTGAAATTAATCAGACTAGCTTGGCCTAACCCTGCTCACCCTGCCTCACCCAAGCCTTCCCATGGAAACCACAGTGGAGGCTCTTGCGTGCGATCTCCTCCTACTCCCTCTGCCTCCTGACTGACTGTGGTGTTTCCCAGCGTGGCCCTGGGTGGCACACTGTGCATCCTGCTCTGGGAACTGTAACTATTTTTTCAATGCCAATTGTTCCTAGATCTGTTGGCCTTATATCACAGATCTTATTATTCTGTATCACAGATCTTAATATTCAGGTATGGTAAGGCCAAAGGATCTTATTATTTAGGTATGGTAAGGCACTCAGGAGAGAATTTCTTTGGCTAATATTTAAATATTTTCCTATTTATAAAAAAATTAGAAAGGCTGCTTTTCAATTATTCAATTCCTAATCAAAGTGAAAATTTATGGGAATAAAGAATATATACCTTAGAGCAAAACATTATAGCAATCACCTTTTAAAAATATCTGCCTAGCTCTTGAAAATAATACCTTCTCCAGGAAAGTAGTAGATCCAAGTAGCCCAAATTGGACTCTTTGTCCCCATCTCCCAGGCTATAGCTGGGCTAATGATATTCTGATTCCAGGAATTTAGAATTTGAACAGAGAGACACAAAGGCTGGGAACTGGGACCTGGCCCATTAAGAATAGAGATATTGGCTGGGTATGGTGGATCACGCCTGTAATCCCAGCACTTTGGGAGGCCGAGGTGGGCGGATCACCTGAGGTCAGGAGTTCCAGACCAGCCTGACTAAGATGGAGAAACCCTGTCTCTACTAAAAATACAAAATTAGCCAGGCGTGTTGGTTCATGCCTGTAATCCCAGCTACTCAGTAGGCTGATGCAGAATTGCTTGAATCTGGGAGGTGGAGGTTGCAGTGAGCTAAGATCGTGCCATTGCAGTCCAGCCTGGGCAACAAGAGAGAAACTCCATCTCAAAAAAGAAAAAAAAAAAAAAAAAGATATTGATGGAAGAATGTTAAACTGCTGATGTCAAAGAGCTCAGAGATGGCCCAAGGACATCCTTCCCAAGCCACCCACCCTTTTCAACTCTTTCTCGGAGTCTGAAAAAAAAATTGCACTATCCTTCTACCACATTTCTTATTTACTTATGTACTTTTTTGGTATAAGGCAGTTATTACTTACAATCGAAAAATAAAAACAAAACAAAAACTTGAGTAATGTAATCCCTTTCAGCTTTAATATTCTGTGTATCAGTATTTCTCATTTCTTTGACATGGCCATTTGTTAAGATTTATTGACTATTAACTGAGGTCAATAAATGATTAACTCATATAAATGATTCTGCAAAACATATTTTTGAAAAATCATTACTAATGGTGTTATAACTGAACTTGATCTGTAAAGAGTAACAGTAAACTGACCTTGTGCTTGCTCAAAATAATATGCTCAACATTCATTCAAAGAATATTTATTGATGACTTGTTATGCAAGATGTTAAGAACTGGGAATAAAAAGATGACAGAGATAGCCATAGGCCAGTCTCTTCCCATGGGCTCCAGTCAAGGAAACAGATAATTATAATAAATGCACCAATGAGTGGT